TGAAGATTCCGGGTTAGAAAAGGTCTTCAGCAACCCATACTTGCCGTAAAAGGCGACTATGCTTGTCGTAAAAGGTGACTAACGGGATCGGGTGGTCAGGCTCGCTGACTTGGTTGATACATGTCATCGATCCCAATTGCGTGGATCGATGCTCATGATGTCAATCACTGGATTGTCTGGTCCAGACTCGATTATTTTACAGACCGCCGTCATATAGCCGGAATATTGCTGAGTGCGGCGTTAAACAACAAACAAACAAACAAAACAGCTTACTGTCAACACAAACACAAAGTTCAGCTTCTTTAACCATGCGGTTAATGATATACAGGAAACGTAAGACAATGAGGCATTGCTTTATATACTCAATGGTCATAATATCATAAAATATCCACATGTATAAATATATAGTTTTTTACCATCTCAACACCAATAAATAACTCATTGTATATCATGTGCCAAAATGGTATGACAATATGGCTGAAAAGGCAAGCAAATTGGATGCGTCAAATTACAAATATATGGACAGGAATGGTGCAAACCTAGTTCTCATTTGAGGAGGTAGTTAAAATCCACAACGATAGTGCAAAGATATCAATGTAATACCACGTTCACATGCACAACATTTACTAACGTAAGTAATTTTACACATTTCTAACTATACATACGTGTGTATATGTAAATTTACTATGCGTTCAGATGAAAATCAACTTAGGTGTGTAAATAAAGTATGGAAATTGTGTAAGGCACACATATTCGTCAGTCTGTTCACGAATTTCAACACAAAACAGCTTGTTTTCCAATCAAAGTTGAATGAGAAGAGAGTTACTTCACCAAAAATTATCGCGTGAAGCAACATGTGTTTGATTTAATTTGTACACAAATGTTTGACTCCTTGAAACCAAAAGAAAACACCGTCCGCTCAACTCTGAAAATACGCATAAAAGTTGGCAATTGAACAATTGGAAAATGAACAGATTAGATTAGATCATCCTCTTACGTTGACATAAACGTTCACATTGCAACATATACACACAGTTAAAATTTACATTTACATTTGCACCTGCTCCAGACATGATACAAATTTGCTCCTGGTGTAAATATACACACATGAGTAAACGCGTTCACATGACAAGTATACTCACGTATGTATTGCTACACCCGTATGCACGTATACACACATATGTATAGAGGCGCATGTGAACGGGGTATAAGTGATCGGTTTAAACCACATCTCCCGTAAGGCAGGATTTCAGCTTAAAAATAAAATGCAAAAAACAGTTAACAAATGATGAAAGTTGTATTTTATATACTAAAATTGATTTGGGAGGACATGTGGCAAACTTGTGTCCTGCACACTGTTTGACCTCTTTGAATTTGTTTGCAAAGGCGACTCCTGAATAACTACCTGGTTACAAGAGCTCACGAACATTACACTTTCTTCTACACAGTATACTAAGCATGACAAGTTGGTTGTCATGAAACTTCCATAACATCACCAACAACCAGGAGTTGTCTCCTCTTGACGACGAAATCCATATACCCATAAATAGTCTAGGTGGCCCACAAATGTCCTGGCGCTGTATATCACTATGAAATAAAGTTCCACATAGATCCTTGTTATTCTTCATAATACACAGCGATGTGAACACCCCTTCCTGGAACTTGATATACGTGTTTGACTTCTTCATAGACATTGTATTCAGCATATCCATCAGAATGAATGCAATAGCTTCCTTAATCTGTGACCACTCTGCAGGTGGGTGGTTGGTTGAGTGGGTGGTTGGTTGTGTTGGTGGTTGGTTGAGTGGGTAGTTGGTTGTGTGATTGAGTTGGTGGTTCATTGAGTGGGTGGTTGGTTGAGTGGGTGGTTGGTTGAGTGGGTGGTTGGTTGAGTGGGCAGTTGGTTGAGTGATTGAGTTGGTTGAGTTGGTGGTTGGTTGAGTTGGTGGGTGGTTGTGTGGGTGGGTGGGTGTTTGAGTGGGTGGTTGGTTGAGTGGGTAGTTGGTTGAGTGATTGAGTTGGTTGTTAAGTGAGTGGGTAGTTGGTTGAGTAGAAGGTTGGTTGAGTGAGTGGGTGGTTGGTTGTGTGAGTGGTTGTGTGGGGATTGAACCTGAACATTCGGTGTGACGGTCGAGTGATTTAACCACTGGGCTACCTCACTGTCCCACTGTCAGTATTGATCTTCAAATATTTCTTCATAATGCTGAGTATTGAAGCACTGACCAAATAATATCAACTATCAAATATCAACAATATTTCTTCAACTGCAACAGTGAATGTCATATGAAATATTGTGTTACATTGTTGCAATACATAAGAGTTAAACTGCGTTACACAATGTTTCACTCAGATCCTGCACACGTCTTCTCATATATTATTCATGCCATGCACAGTTTTCCATTTTTTAAATAAAAAGATAAACGTTCCATTTTAAAAATATGGCTACAAACATGAACATAAAGCATCGGGATATTCAAGTATGTTGTATCTGAGAACAGCAGTCATCAGTGGATGACATGTCACCTCCCTCACCTGGTCCGTCATTGTTTTCTAAGATCAACACAAAATGAAGTCCTTAAGACCAAAAGGCACGACGTTCTCAGAAAAATAATTTGAACAGTATTTGCTTGCCCTAAAAATAATTTATTAAAGCAGAACTACCATGAGACATGACTTTGGTTTATAATGTATGCTCATGGCAAGGACTAAATCCAAGAGCTTATACATGTATGGAGAAACAGTTATGAAAGTATAAATAACTAGATCATGTTCCTACTCATAACAACAGGTGTCTCCCCTACCCCTTAATTTTTCTACATTAGTTGTTATTCTTAATGTGATTGCGAATCTCAAAAAACAATAATTGCAAAATAAGTACCGATTCTGATTAATGCATTAACGAAGCAGCATTACTGTGGATCATGTTGGTGACATGTTGACTCTTTATGGCAGATAAGACTATTGGAATTGTAACAGCAGTTTGGGTGTTTGACTGTATTGTGCAAGAAGATCGCACGTCTTCGACATCTCGCAGGTAGTGACTGGCGAACACAGTGTCAGATCGCCAGAAACAGCTTTCCATAATGGCGTGTATGGAGCAGTTGCTGTGAAGCGCCATGGTGGATGCGACCGTCCGTATCTTGTGCTCCGTGCGCTTCCTGCTCGAACATACCCGTGTCACGTCTTGTGCGTGGATCTCGCTGATAAGCGCCGCCGTGGAGAGAGCGAGGAGGAAGATTGTCTTTTTCGTCAGTTTGTAGAAAGACGCCGAAAGAAGTGGCTCAAGGGGCCTCTCAAGCAGGTGAGGACTACATTCAGGTCCCAGGTTAGGGGTATGAACTTAGCCTTCTGGTCTTCCAATCGGAAGGTGCGAAGTAAAGCTTCCTGAAGTTCCGGAATTTTCGTCATTTTACGATCTTCCGGAATCGCCAAGACGCAGTTGAGGGCCACGAGGTACGTCGTGATGGTGCTGCCCTTTAAACGCCGTCTGTGACGCAGGAACAGCAGGAACTCAGCCAGGAATTGAGGAGACGCAGAGGTGGGATCCTGAGGTTTTTCTATGCAAAAACCTTTAAAGGAAAGCCACTTGTCATCTAGAGACTCCTGGCAGATGGTCGATGGGCCAGTGTAATGGCCGTCGCCGCCCTGACCCAGTGACCTTTGGCACTTAGGGCCCTTTGTAAATGGACCAGACGTGTAGATGGAACTTGTCTGGTGCCGGATTTCCTTTTGGCTGACGATAGTAAATCACATTTTAAATTTGTGATCAGAATCTGAAAGCAATTGGTGAATATTCCTCATTTTAAGGGTTTTTTAAAACTATATAATAACTCATGTCCCCTCAACCAGAAGTGGGATAACACCTTTAAAATCTACAACTAATGGAAACTAAAGGTTTCTTCTTGACTGATGATAATAAATACCATTTCAAACTTGTGAATTGAATCTGAATGGTATGGGTCAATATTGCTAATTTTAAGAGATGTTTTACTGTGTCATTATTCATATCACCTTGACCAGAAATAGGATGACACCTTTAAAAACTACAGCTAATAGAATCTTAAGATTTCCTTTAACATCAGAAGCTTGTGAGCAGAATCTGAATGCTATTGGTGAATATTGCTAATTTTGAGAAATTATTGGCCATATTACTCACATCCCCTCGACTAGAATTGGCATAAATGTAATGTAGTGTCATTCACATTTCAAGAGAAGTGGAGGTGATTGTGCTGTTATTAACTGTTTGTCAATTAAATACATAGTTGCTTGCGACACATATAATTCACTATGGTGTTTATCCCAGTTCTGGTCGCTACACAGCGGCTTTCTTTCTGTTTGCGTTCGCAATGAACGTACGCTGCGCACTGCTGCTAAATATAGCCGCTCTCAGTCACCTGACTGCTAACCCTTACCCGGAATGTAACCACGTGATCAAAACTCAATGATCGCGTTTATCGCTTGCAAAATGGATATTTTTTTCAAAGCGCACTTTACAAATTGTGGCATTACTAAAAGTATATTCTTAATGGCCGGCTTCCACTTTATAAGTATTAGAACAAACGCAGCTATATTCAGTAAGGATAAGATACATGGATGAACATCTTCTTTAATACAATTAGGAGCGACGTTTGGGTGTAGGTTCTAACACCGTTATCAAGCAAATTATGGATGAACAACTTCTTTAATACAATTAGGAGCGACGTTTCGGTGTAGATTCTAACAAAGTTATCATCGCTTGCTTGATAACGGTGTTAGAACCTACACCGAAACGTCGCTCTTAATTGTATTAAAGAAGTTGTTCATCCATAAATCTTATCCATACTTAGTACGCCAACTTCAAAATGCCTCTCAAACAAGAAGTTGTATTCGTCACCTAATAATCCGTGATATTGCTGGAATATTGCTAAAAGCGGCGTAAAACCAAACTCACTCACTCACTCAAGTCAGACATATGTAAGTATATCTAATAAATTGAAGTTCCCCTAAGTATAACAAAACTCTTTAAAAAACACTTGATTTTATTCACGCTAAAACATCTCTACCGTATCAGACCACTAGAATTCGCAGCTGTCAGGGAGACCGGGGACACATTTAACACGGGCAGTTTATATTCATGCAAATCAATGCCAGAAACACTCTCGCCAAGTTAGTTTAACATCATCATACTGGCTTTAAAATTCATTTCATTTGAGGTTCCATTTACCGTCGATACATAACTTTTTCGCATGAAATGCGATGCTAGCAAGTGTTGTACCCAATCATGGTTCAATTGTAACGGGTGGATGGATCAAATGTAACACACAAGGGTCAAATGTAACAAACCGTGTATTATTGAAAATACACTAAAATAGAACTGTGAAACTGATTAATCTTGTTTGAACTGGAAACAAATGTACAGTCATCACATATCGTCAACTGAAGAATCCTTGTATTGATGACACTCTTCATTAGCCCAATATTTGCATGAAGAACATTGTACCCATTCTTCACCTGGACGACTATTTGAAAACTTGTCGCACCAAACCAAGAAAATGTTCATTTCGGAATCAGAATCACTGTCAGAATCGTACTTAACAAGCTTCTTCCTTTGTTTAAATACGCCAGACGTTTTAGTTTTAGTTTTTGTTTTTGTTTTTTCTTTTCTTTTGTCTTTAGTTTCATTTCTAACAGGATCCGTTTGACAGGCGTGTCATTCAGAAATTGGGATATCTTTCTTTTTTGTCCTCCCTTTGGTTTAATAACTTCCGGTGAGAAAGGAATTGGACCCAAAGTCCCAGGGACAGAATCATAAGGGTGAGGTGAGATGAAATGGGGTTTAACGTCGTGCTCAAGATTATTGCACTTGTATAGCGACGGGCATGTAACAGATCTACCACATAGGGCAGTTCAAAATATGGCGCCATGTAACAAGTTTCCATTTAAAAAGTTTAATAACACAATTTGCAACATACGTCCGGTGACAAAAACGTTATGGTATTTATAGAGTTTTTTTACTTCCCTGAATAAAATTTGAATTTTGTTCACTGCTTCTTTTCTTGTGGACTGCTCCATTAAACCTGGATGTCCTTGGCGGGAAGGCTAAGGGAAGTAGCTCTACATTGCCTAACATTTGCTATAGCTTATTTTCTGAGAGTAATGTCCATTGTTACAAATGCCCCGTGTTACATTTGTCCCCGGTCTTCCCTACACAGACATCTTTACTGACCAACATATCCTACCGACTTTAGTGTCACGTGATCACATAAACTCCGCCCATCGTACACTTCCGTCCATCGGATCTACAACTAATTGATGAAGAATATGTTGATTTTGCAAAGATTGGGTGAGTGGTTTTATTTTTCACATAATATGATCCTAGAAAGGTTTTCATTCGAGCTGACTAACTATATCGATCTATAATACAGAGACCAATGCTTTATCTTTCCCTTTCAGCCTTCGTACACATTGGCTGGCAGACCTTTACAACCAAGGCCGGTAACTCTAAACAGTGACCCTGCCAGACCCTGTGTTGTCGCGAACTCTTCGTCTGTGACGCCTCTTCTGCTGGTGGTCACATACAGCTGGTCTAGGTTCGAACCTCCCCAGCACACCGACGTTACTCTCTCGGCGTTTGGGATTTCCACCGTTTGTAGCATTGATCCTGCAATTGAGGTTATTCTCAAAGAAACAGTTAAACTACACCGCCCGGCTAAAGAAAGTATATACCCTTGTTTGATGGTACTGTATTGAACACGGGTATCATAATTGTGTTTTGGACCTTAAGTTTGCAGTGTTTCGTTGACTTTTCACCCTAGTAACTTTTGATAACGATTGTAGTTTTTTAGGCAAGTCCAATTTTCAAGGGTATACTTTCTTTTGCCCGGCCGTATAATACCTTTGCAGCTGTGACCCTCAAGGATTTCCACCCGTTGTAGCATCGATCCTGCAGTTAGGGTTCTTATTATTATTTAAATTAACTAGTTCCTTTATGGTGTAAAGTAGGGTTGGGAGAGGGTGAGGTTTGCTGCTGGATAAATATCGTTTTACCCTGCATTCATCATCATTATTCCATCCATATGTCCCTCAACATAATGTAACAATGTGGAAAACCGAAACAGTAATTTCGGCCTGAAAACTTAAGAGACATGTTATTTTTATAACTCAAAATTCATTTTTAATGCGAATCTGTTCTTCTTGACACTCTCAACAATTAGCAACACATGTGGTTCGTTATTTGCACATGTTACCTAAACAACAAAAATGTTTCATCATTTTGCAAACAGTACTACAGGCATATACTATGTAAATATTTCTATTGCAAAAATCTGCATTCGTGTCTTTTTATAAAAAATTCTTTAATCTGGGTAACATTTGTTGACCATATTTGGTGTAGAACAAAAGGGAAAATCCCAAAACGGAATGTCTTCTTAGAGAAGATTCGCAACGAGCTACTCATCATTAGTGTCACCAGTCCCGAAATGTTGCTTACGCTGTCAGTACATAAAGAGCTATCCATCCAAAACTCAAAATTTAGTGTTGTAAATTGTCTCTTGTTGTTTCACTAAAATTCGTGTGAAAATGGTACCTCTTTTGAAACCAACCAGTGGCGTTGCTAGAGAAGGGACTGAAAGAAGGAAACTAACTAGATATTTAAGTTAATTGCGTGTGCGCCTTAAACGATTTTACAGTGAAACCCCATTTATCCACACCGGATAGTCTCAGTGAAGTTGTCCGGTTTAACAAAGTTCCGGGTTACCGAATAGTATTTAGTACTAATGTCCCTAAACTGTACATAGACGTTCCCTAAGTTATCACCTAACATTGGTTTGTTTGTTGTTTGTAAATAATCGAGTCTGGACCAGACAATCCAGTGATTGATATCATGAGCATCGATCTACGCAATTGGGATTCGATGAGATATATCAACCACGTCAGCAAGCCTGACCAACCGATCGCCTTAGTCGGTCTTACGACAACAATAGTCGCCTGTTACGGCAAGTATGGGTCACTAGCTTTGGTTCCATGTTAAAATATTACATGAAAGAGTACGAACCTGTTTCCGGATCGAAGCGAGCCACACAGGAGCCGAAGTAGCAAGCCACCCACAGTTTCCCCTGGGTGTCCACCGTCATGCCGTCGGGGAAGGGGGGTGGGCTGCCTCGGAACTCGGGGAACGTGTCAAAATCTACACACACGCGTCGATTAGCTGAAACACATAGAATCGTATGCAAACACAAATTGTTTCTAACATACAAGATTAATAGAATTGTTTTCAATACTGTCGGTATGACCTGTACAGTGAGTGGGTAGTTGGTTGAGTGAGTGATTGGTTGAGTGATTGAGTTGGTTGTTAAGTGAATGGGTGGTTGGTTGAGTGAAAGGTTGGTTGAGTGGGTGGTTGGTTGTGTGAGTTGTCGAGTTAGTGGTTGGTTAAGTGGTTGAGTTGGTGGCTGGTTGTGTGGGTGGGTGGTTGGTTGAGTGTATAGTTAAGTACCGGTAGTTGGTTGTGTAGGTAGTTGTGTGGTTGAGTGGCTGGTTGGCTATGTGGGTTGGTGGTTGGTTGAGTGATTGAGTTGGTGGTTAAGTGACTGGGTGGGTGGTTGGTTGAGTGGTTGGTTGGTTGAGTGATTGAGTTGGTTGTTAAGTGACTGGTTGGGTGGTTGGTTGAGTGGTTGAGTTGGTGGTTGGTTGAGTGTGTGTGTGGTTGTTTGTGTGTGTGTGTGTGTGTGTGTGTGTGGTTGAGTGATTAAGTTGGTGGTTAAGTGACTGGTTGGGTGGTTGGTTGAGTGGTTGAGTGGTTGGTTGGTTGAGTGATTGAGTTGGTGGTTAAGTGACTTTGTGGTTAGTTGGTTGAGTGGTTGAGTTGGTGGTTGGTTGAGTGTGTGGGTAGTTGTGTGGGTGGGTGGGTGGTTAAGTGGGTGGTTGGTTGAGTGATTGAGTTGATTGTTAAGTGAGTGGGTAGTTGGTTGAGTGGGTGGCTGGTTGAGTGAGTGTTTGGTTGTGTGACTGGTTGTGTGGGGATTGAACCTGAACCTTCGGTGTGACGGTCGTGTGATTTAACCACTGGGCTACCTCACCGTCCCACTGTCAGTATTGATCTTCAAATATTTCTGCATAATGCTGAGTATTGAAGCACTGACCAAATAATATCAACTATCAAATATCAACAATATTTCTTCAACTGCAACAGTGAATGTCGTATGAAATAGTGTGTAACATTGTTGCAATACAGAAGAGTTAAACTGCGTTACACAATGTTTCACTCAGATCCTGTATACGTCTTCTCATATATTATTCACGCCATACACGGTTTTCCATTTTTTAAATAAACGTTCCATTTAAAAAATATGGTTACAAACATGAACATAAAGCATCGGGATATTCAAGTATGTTGCATCTGAGAACAGCAGTCATCAGTGGATGACATGTCACCTCCCCTTAATTGTTTTCTAAGATCAACACAAAATTTATCGGTATGACCTGTACAGTCCCAACCAATGTTTGTGTGTTGTTTAAAGTTCAACTATAAGACGGAACAGACAATATAAGTCTGGAACAGACAACCAAGTGATTGTCACCGTGAGCATCGATCTAGTCGATTGGGATACGATGCAACCAAGTCAGCGAGTCTGACCACCCGATCCAGTTAGTCACCTCTTACGGTAAACAAGGGTAGCTGAAAACCTATCCTAACCCAGATCTTCACGGGAATCAGCCCATGTCATTTATCCAGGCACATTCACCTATAAAGTGACATGTTATTTGTTCAATACATGGCATAACGCCATTAATTAGAAATTTAAAAAGCTCTCTGGACATTGAATACTCTTAAAAGAAAATGTTGGGTTTATTGCAATATTCAGTATAGGTCTTAAAAAGCAAAGCATCTCAACTGATCAGACACCATCTTTACGTCAACAAGCGATAACAAGTACTGACCAAGGTCACCTGTCTCAAGGTCGAAGTCAAACATATCCACTCTCCGTGTCGGTGAATCTATGTAGAACATTGTCTTATTATTTTCTGACCACGTCAAGCCGTTGGACAATGTCACTTCCTTGATTTTCTGGGTTATCTTTCCCCCAAGGTCAAGGCTGTATAGAGAGCCTCTCTTTGGAATATAGTTCGGGCGGGTAGACGCTGGTTCAACGGGAGGTCCCATGGTCCCTGGTGAGTAAGAGGGTTATGAAAGCCACTGTCGCACTAGGTTTTATAATGTATAACTACGGGTTAATGTCTGAGAAGAATTCTTACCATGTCTGTCCAGAAAACCTCGGACTGATCTCCAGTAACTTAATAATGTTTTGGGGAACGGACGGCGCTGTCGTCTAGGACGCAATTCGTTGTGCTGAGTTGCGTCCCTTGGGCACGCCATAAACCTATATTTGTGGGTTCGAATCCCGGTTCGCCACGGTTATTTGTGTAGGTTTGTCAGCACCATACCTGTGCTTGTGGTTTCACCGAAGTGGTAAACGTCTGAGACCTTCACTTCGGGCCTTCCTCCTACATTAAGCTGACATGTCGTGATATAACTGGAATACTGTTAGAAGCAAGGTTAAAACCATCTCACTCACTCATAATGTTTCCATCATAATGTTTTCTCAACTCATCCCTTTCTGTTTTCTGATGTGATTAGAAATGCGTAATATTGCCTACACATCCCTTTTCATATATTGTATGCAATGTTCTTGAATAAACTGACTTTGTTCTGATATCACTGGATATCGTACTACTGTTTGTAGAACTGACTATAACCGAGGAAGAGTTATTAAAGAAAGATGATAAGTTATCTTACCTTACGACCGTGTTTATCGCACATGACTCAGAATTAAAAATTGCAGACTATTATTTTGAAGATAGGTAAGTATTTTCTACATTCTTTGTTTTCTTTTTTCATGATCGAAACATTCCCACTGTCGACATCAATAACTGATATTGATGAAACCCTGTGAACATCGGCAAGTAATTGCATAGCATAATGTCATGGATATATTTGCAATACTTCACGATGTTCGCTTCTGCATCAGAATGTATAGGATGAAGCAGAGGGCTTGTAACTAAAAAAATAGCAGCAAGATATATGGTAACAACCTGAGCCATCCTTTTATATACACTAAACTACGTTTATAACGAATTAACGGATATAACGAACTATGGTTATAACGAACTACAATTAGTGGTCCCTTTGAGTTCGTTATAACCGTAGTTTACTGTAGTATTATGGCACCGATAGTGACACTACATCTTGCTACTAAGCTGTGCGCTACAAGCCCACGTGGGATAAAGTCATCTCTCTTCACCTGCCCACAGCCTGCCACTGGCGTCACACTTGCCATCGTTGATCCTGTTGCCAGATCCGACGTCCACCTCGCCGAGAGACGTCACAGTCTGCTTGTCCCAGTCCAGAAGGGACAGACTACGCCCTGCGGCAATCACATACCCACCTTTCTTCCGGGGAACAACGAATCCAACAGGGGCACCTGTCAACACACATATATGATTGGTCTCCAATACGTTATCTAGAGGGTGCGCCATATGCCATTACGGGTTCCCATGCGAACAAACGTATTACTTAAAACAAAACTCTTCTGGATTAAATTAAAAACGGTCGATTGTACATTGTTCCCTAAGTAGGTTATCTCCCATTACGTAGTTAGACAGCCAGTTGTCAGACTCTGAAGTAGGGGATTAATTAGGGCAGTACCCACAACAATGGTACAGTCCTACTCAGTGAACTAATTAGGCATGTCTCAAGGTTCATTGTTTGATCTTTCTCTACTTATTTTCTACTTATTTATTGTTACAGTTATTTACTAGATTGCTACTCCAGTTGCTACTCCAGTTGCATGTTGTACTCTGATTATAAGTTATTATGTTAATCCAATATGTAGAGTTTAATCTTTAAAACTTGTGGAAAATGAAGAACTTCTCAACTAGACTACTACTCAAGTTACACTTGCACTTAGCTGCTTGTTATATACACAGTAAAAAAAGTGTTGCACCCCCACATTAATACGTTTGATACATCACAACATTTAAAACGCCCGACTCTGGTTTTAATGGTAGGTATTCCTTGGGGATCTGATGTTAAATGTGTAATGTTTTCGGAGGGAAGATGATCACCAAAACGTAGCAATCAGCACGTGAATTGCATGGTGCATGACATTTGCAGATTGCAGTATCTTCTTAAGCTCAACATCGCCTATAAAAGATGTTCTCTGACAGCCCAGTTTATTGTAACCCACAATGCCGGGTAGACGATTGTCAGAAGCAGTCAAGTGGCAGATTATTGGCCTTCATGGAGCAGGTCTTTCGTTCAAGGAGATTGGCAGAAGAACCGGACATCACTACTCAACAATAAGCCGTTTGGTCAGAAAACACGCACAAACTAATGATGTAAGGAATCGCAGACCCTCTGGCAGACCACGTAAGACCACAGTTAGAGATGACAGAGCGTTGTTGAGGGTGGTAAGGCGTCATCCATTTGCTACAAGCACAACCTTGAAACGTCTTTGGCTTCCTCGTCAAGAGTTCAGTACCCAGACCGTGAGAAATCGTCTTAAAGCTGCAGGGTTGAAGTCCAGAAGGGTTATCAAGCGACCTAAACTCACAGACAACCACAAACGACTACGTCTAGCCTGGTGTAGACTGAGACAGAACTGGAACTTGAGGTCCTGGAGAAGAGTCCACTGGTCGGACGAAAGCAGGTTCCTTCTGCATGTTGTGGATGGCAGAGTGAGAGTATGGAGGCGTCCTGGAACAGCTTATACTGCAAGAAACATCATGCCAACTGTACCATATGGAGGTGGATCTGTTATGGTCTGGGGATGCTTCTCATTTGATTGTAAGCTTGATTTAGTGACCATTCGAGGCAACTTGACAGGGGAGCGCTACATCCAAGAGGTGCTGAATCCAGTTGTGGTGCCCCATTTTGACAATCATCCACTGGCCACCAGACCGATATTCATGGATGACAATGCCAGACCACATCGTTCACGAGCTGTGACCCAGGTTATCCAAAACAATGCTCTGACGCAGATTCCATGGCCAGCAATGAGTCCAGATCTGAATCCTCTGGAACATGTATGGGACATTTTGGGACGCCTGATTTATCGTCGGGACCCTCCTCCACAGAACTTGCGTGAATTGGAAGCAGCATTACACGAGGAGTGGCAGCGATTCCAACGTCTGGTGAGGAGTATGAGACGAAGACTTCAAGCTGTGATCCAAGTGCTTGGTGGAAGTTCTCGATATTGACTTACTGTGTTCGTCAAATCTCCATATGACATTCTGACCCTATTGGATGAATTTGGTCACTAAACATTATTGAGATGTCACCATACTTAATGCGTCTTCGTTGTTCGTGCATTTTTCGTAAAAGTTCAGCATGAGATTATTACATGCCATAAGGTCATGGAATACCCCATTTAAGTTCATTGTATAGACAATACACTGGTTTGTTGGTATACACGAAATCCTGGTTATAATATTAATTCGGTTATCTTTACACCCTTTCAAAACACCCCTCCATGAAAAAGTATAGGGGGTGCAACACTTTTTTTACTGTGTATAATAACATTCTTAATATAAAACAATTAATCTTTTACTATCAATTTGTCAGAGTCTACTCAGTTTAACCAACTGTGATATAAATATCATTACTGGCAGATCATGGTAGCATTATCAGAATGGCTGGGTTAAGGAAAGTGGAATATATTATGTCACAGAGAGGCACACCTCAGATTCTTCTGGATGGATATCTCTACAACCGAAATCGAGAAAGACAGACCAGCACCCACTGGAGGTGTGTTATCAAGACCTGCACTGGCAGATGCACAACAAATGACGACTTCCTCCGGAACCAGACTCAGCACAACCATCCACCAGAACATGTCAACAAACTCAAGTTCCTCGGCACACTTCGTAAGCGCGCCCGTGAAGAAACAACCAAGATGCACTCCCTCTACAATGACCAGCTAGCACAAGAAGATGACAACGAGATACCCCTTCTGCCTTCCTTCTCCAGCGTCAGCAGTGCCCTTTACAGACAGCGCCGCAACACCATGCCTGCTCTCCCCAGAATCTCTCAGATGTTGATCTTGTTGATGTTGATTTTATGAACGTTTATAAAATAAGTACATCTGACTTAACACGTCTTTTTGTTTTGTTATATCTTGATGTTTAGCTATGGGTCATTCCATTATCAATCAAGGTAACAGCATTGCACTTTGTTGTGCACTCAACCAGAAAAGTTGTTATTTTAAGGTGTCTAACAACTGGCTGTCTAACTAATGGGAGGACACCCCTAAGTAGGAGAGACAACGTTTATATTGTATTTGACATGCAAACAAACAAGAATGAAATAATCATATCCCCCGCCAATATGGCATGTCCGGTTGTGTGGAGCAATACCGCCATTTCCAGTCTAAGTCAAAGTCGTTGCCAATGGAATCTCGAAAAATCATTTTTTTTAAATTGCCAAACTTTCAAAAGGCACCACATCACCACGAGACCTATCTATGTGTCCTGTTTGCTTAAGGCATCAATTTGTTTAGTTCTGCTCCGGAAACGAAACATGGCGGACGAACAGACGGAAGGCGCCCAGAATTACCAGGGGCGTTCAATACGTTTTGCGATTTGCTCATTTGTGTTTACACAAACAATGTCAACTTGTGGCAGGCGTGACACTAGTCATAACATTTGGTTGACACGTATCATAACAAGTTCCAGGCACATCAATAAGTTAGATGTGATGGCTTCATTCACCTAAGGGTGGTCACAATCATGGATTCTCTCAAACATGAACAACGCGTTGTAATAAAGTTCCTTACCAAGGAGGGATACAAAGCAAAAGAAATCCACGTTCGCATGTGTAAAGTGATGGGTAAGGATGCTCCTGACTATTCCACAGTTTGCCGTTGGTCTCTACAGTTTAAATGTGGTAGGGAGTCCATAGACGATGACCCAAGGTCAGGAAGGCCTTCAGATCCCACCCAACCGGAAACCATTACTGCTATAGAAAGAAGAATTTTGTCTGACCGACGAGTGAAGGTATCTGAACTTTCTAGGGAATTCCAAATATCAGTTGGAACTGATGTAACCATTATTCATGAGCATCTTGGTATGCCCAAGGTATCTGCAAGATGGGTACCTAGAAACCTCAGAGCTCAAGATCGCCATCAGAGAACTGAAGTTGTCGAGACCTCCTGGATCTCTATACTGCTGATGAAGCCGGATTTCTTTCTCGTCTAGTGACAGGTGATGAAACATGGATCAACCACTGGGACCCAGAAACTAAATTGGAATCCATGCAATGGAAGCACCCCAATTCTCCGCCTCCGAGGAAGTTTCGCACTCAACCATTGGCTGGCAAGGTAATGGCCACCATATTTTGGGATGCAAAAGGCATATTATTGATTGATTACATGCCACCAAAAACTACGATCAATGGACAGTATTATGCTAATGTAATGAAAGAATTGCGAAAATCTATTCGCATGAAACGCCGTGGGATGTTTACAGTTAACACGTGGTATTCTACTTTTGCATGACAACGCTCCGGTTTACAAGTCGAGAATTGCACAGGCCGCTATATGTGAATGTGGATTCGAACAGTTAAATCACCCACCCTACAGCCCAGACTTAGCCCCCAGTGACTATTTCCTGTTCCGGCAAATGAAATCTGCCCTACGTGGAAGACGCTTCCAGGATGACGAGGACATTAAGGCTGCCACAGTGGCGACTATAGACCACCTACATATGCATCAACTTGTATTATAAACTATGACAATAAAAATGATAGTATATGAATAAACTGGAACTAAAAACATAAATGTTCTCAGTTTTCCAGGTTTAAGATTCAATGAGGACAGATACAAACACATGTTGGTTTGCGGGAGAAACATGGACAGGTGTTTATCTTTACTATTCGGATTTTGTATTTCCTGTCGCAGGGTTTGGAAAGTAAATGCAATATTGAATCATTTTCTATTTTACCATATTTAGTTGCAACAAAGGTGATTGGTCGGTACTTCTATATATACACAGTAAAAAAAGTGTTGCACCCCCTATACTTTTTCATGGAGGGGTGTTTTGAAAGGGTGTAAAGATAACCGAATTAATATTATAACCAGGATTTCGTGTATACCAACAAACCAGTGTATTGTCTATACAATGAACTTAAATGGGGTATTCCATGACCTTATGGCATGTAATAATCTCATGCTGAACTTTTACGAAAAATGCACGAACAACGAAGACGCATTAAGTATGGTGACATCTCAATAATGTTTAGTGACCAAATTCATCCAATAGGGTCAGAATGTCATATGGAGATTTGACGAACACAGTAAGTCAATATCGAGAACTTCCACCAAGCACTTGGATCACAGCTTGAAGTCTTCGTCTCATACTCCTCACCAGACGTTGGAATCGCTCCATGGGCAGCTGCTGCCACTCCTCGTGTAATGCTGCTTCCAATTCACGCAAGTTCTGTGGAGGAGGGTCCCGACGATAAATCAGGCGTCCCAAAATGTCCCATACATGTTCCAGAGGATTCAGATCTGGACTCATTGCTGGCCATGGAATCTGCGTCAGAGCATTGTTGTGGATAACCTGGGTCACAGCTCGTGAACGATGTGGTCTGGCATTGTCATCCATGAATATCGGTCTGGTGGCCAGTGGATGATTGTCAAAATGGGGCACCACAACTGGATTCAGCACCTCTTGGATGTAGCGCTCCCCTGTCAAGTTGCCTCGTATGGTCACTAAATCAAGCTTACAATCAAATGAGAAGCATCCCCAGACCATAACAGATCCACCTCCATATGGTACAGTTGGCATGATGTTTCTTGCAGTATAAGCTGTTCCAGGACGCCTCCATACTCTCACTCTGCCATCCACAACATGCAGAAGGAACCTGCTTTCGTCCGACCAGTGGACTCTTCTCCAGGACCTCAAGTTCCAGTTCTGTCTCAGTCTACACCAGGCTAGACGTAGTCGTTTGTGGTTGTCTGTGAGTTTAGGTCGCTTGATAACCCTTCTGGACTTCAACCCTGCAGCTTTAAGACGATTTCTCACGGTCTGGGTACTGAACTGTTGACGAGGAAGCCAAAGACGTTTCAAGGCTGTGCTTGTAGCAAATGGATGACGCCTTACCACCCTCAACAACGCTCTGTCATCTCTAACTGTGGTCTTACGTGGTCTGCCAGAGGGTCTGCGATTCCTTACATCATTAGTTTGTGCGTGTTTTCTGACCAAACGGCTTATTGTTGAGTAGTGATGTCCGGTTCTTCTGCCAATCTCCTTGAACGAAAGACCTGCTCCATGAAGGCCAATAATCTGCCACTTGACTGCTTCTGACAATCGTCTACCCGGCATTGTGGGTTACAATAAACTGGGCTGTCAGAGAACATCTTTTATAGGCGATGTTGAGCTTAAGAAGATACTGCAATCTGCAAATGTCATGCACCATGCAATTCACGTGCTGATTGCTACGTTTTGGTGATCATCTTCCCTCCGAAAACATTACACATTTAACATCAGATCCCCAAGGAATACCTACCATTAAAACCAGAGTCGGGCGTTTTAAATGTTGTGATGTATCAAACGTATTAATGTGGGGGTGCAACACTTTTTTTACTGTGTATAGATTCCCACACACACTGGTGGCCCTTGGGCACTATTCAGCTAATCCATCTGCACACATGGAAAGTGTTAAGTCTCCTTATTTATAAAGGTTAGTATATCACTATTCGACCTGGATTCACTATAGACGCTGTTGAGCGCTGTTTACACTTCACTTGACCCACCTATTCACTGCCCGGTACTTTTGTTTTGTTTGTTGTTTAACACCGCACTACAGGTATTCCAGCTATATGACGGCGGTCTGTAAATAATCGAGTCTGGACCAGACAAGCCAGTGATTGATATGATGAGTATCGATCTACGCAATTTGGATACGATGACATGCATTAACCAAGTCAGCGAGCCTGATCACCCGATCCGCATCTTACAACAAGCACAGTCGTCTTTAATGACAAGCATGGTTGCTGAAGACCTATTCTACCCCGGAGTTTCACGGGTGCCCGGTACCTACCCACGTGTACCTTCGACTGTTGCCCGGTGCCCGGATGATACTTAAGCACATCTCCCGCCATGATGTCCACAAACACCAGCGTCTGGGTGTCCCCCTCCCAGTGCGGACCCTCCCCTTGCGTAGACGTCACATTCTTCAGGACGACTTCAACCTTTGGCGACATGGTGGTCGGCGATACTGACACAGAATGAATGAACACGGGTTGCAAGCAGTCTCTGTGTGGAGCAGTCGGTCGAACGAAGGGTCCCTTAAAATTATCAACGTGCAGCTAACCTTGACATGCTGACAGATCACAAGCACTTATCTACAAACTGTAATGCGCCTGTTCGCCATCTCGCCTGTACGTGAGTGAACACAGTGTTACGCCAAGGCCGATTCCCGATCACTGTTGACATAATGCCATGTAAACACACGGAGTAGCGTCTTCGTCACATTGTCACAGGCACACGTCCGAACCTTCTGTGCTGCCAAAAGGGTTTTGTGTTGGATATATCAGGTTTTAAGTTCAGTCAGCCACAGGTGGTGACGGGGAGCGATTATAGAATATGTTCGCCACCCAATTGTGTCAAGGAATATATATGTATATATATGTGTTGTTTAACGCCGCACTCAGCAATATTCCAGCTATATGACGACAGTCTGTAAATAATCGAGTCTGGACCAGACAATACAGGGACTGACATCATGAGCATCGATCTATGCAACTGGGATACATGCTTCAACCAAGTCAGCGAGCCCGACCACCCGATCCCGTTAGTCACCTCTTACTACAAGTATAGTCGTATTTTACGTCAAGCACCTATTCTACAAGTATAGTCGTATTTTACGTCAAGCACCTTTTCTAACCCGGATCTTCACGGTCCTTAAGTGCCAGCTGTGATGGGGTAATGGTAGTTTACCCCCAGCTCTGTCCTCAGCCCTTGGACCCTTGAATGAAAATGATGGCGAACATAAACTATGGCGACTCTGCTGAGAAATTCGATTGTGAGGTATTCGGTTCCGACCACGTGATATGTGTTTCTCTGTAAGGATCAGCACACTGTTTTTAACCTCTGCTATATTCTTTCAGGGCATCCAGCATGCCAGGTGAACAGTGATTTTTCTTTTCGATGAAATAACTGAGAACAAATAATTATATTTCAAAAAGATCCAAAAAAAGGAATTAATGTTGCAAACAATGTTCTTCAATGTTTCATAACTTCCGAAATCACCAGAAACGCGTTATATAAAATTAGGACTATATAAGACCTTATACAAAATTAAAATTACCTGCCAGAAATAACATTAGAAACTGCTAGTTTCGTTGAGTTTTATCATAAGAAAATGTCGATTTAGGAAGATATGATAGGTCATTTTTTTAACTGGGTTACCGAACGAAGAACCACCAAACCAGTCGCACAACGTCCGAGCTTGCCAAAATTGGAAAATTGTGTTCACCAACCAATTTCTTGACTTCCACGGCTCCCATGCCATTGTTGTGAAAGAGTGATGTAAATGTTATCTTTTAACCAAAGTCACCAATAGCACAACTATATTAACTGACCTGACAACACTCGATATTGGCCCAGAAAACCCCACAGTGATTTATATAATAATTGCACGAGCAGAGACTCCACGTCGTCGGGGCAAGATGCCACACAGTCACCGAAGCCATTCATCTTAACACCCCGATCCATATTTCAGGGATAGACCCTAACAGTGCAGAGGTGTGTTCCGAATGGTATATTGTACAACCGCGAGACTTTCCGTAAACGTGGAAAAATACATTTCGTCAAAATATAATTCTTTAGTTTCGACTGATAAGCGTTTAAATCAAATGTTAAATATAACAACTGGTTTGAAATTTGTGGAATGGTGCGATTATTAATTGAAATCCGCAAATACTCCACCAAGTGTACTAAATATTCGTCTCTATCTGGGAGGGGTCCAAAATATCAAAATTCTCTCTCAGATATTTTTACTGCCTACAAAATACTATATTTAAAATGAAAAGGGGCTTGGGCCCGAACCCGTCTATGACCTGCCTTGTGTCCATAGATTTGAAGCAAAGGGAGACAACTAGAAATTGGGAAGACGCTGCCAATCAAGCATAGTTGTCGCACGTGCAGCTCACGTGCAGCTCACGTGCTCCCGTCCTCGGCGTCTGAACGTCTTGTGAACAGTGGAACTGACGTCGTCCTCGTCACAGGTGTCAAGTTACTGTCAACAAAAAATACGGTACCTGCACTATAAGGTAAATGAACTGGATTGTTGGTTTCGTGTTGCAAGAAGCACACAGAACGCCTAATGTGTTTATGAATAATTTGCATCAATGGTCAACATGGACGATCCGTGTTCTGAAGTTGAGCGAATCAGACTTCTGCTGACACATTTGGATTCAGAGAAAGGTCAGATTTGTTTGTAAATTATGTGCAAATGGTTTGGTTTGGACAAGTTAGTCGAGACACTCGGATTCACTTTAGTGATTTCAGTGATCCATTCATATTATTTCCCCCCCTTATTTGGCCTTTCACGCCCAATGTATCTGTTTCAGCGGATAATCGAGATTGATACTTCTCTGGCGTTAAAGTTTTGAATGCAGTATTTTATCTTCCAGCTGCCCGTATCCGTTGAGTTTTCACCCGTGAAGATACGGGTTAGAATAGGTTTTCAGTAACCCACGCTTGCTGTAAAAAGCAACTATGCCGTAAGAGGCGACTAACGGGATCGGGTGGTCAGGATTGGTTGATGCATGTCATCGTATCCCAATTGTGTGGATCGAAGCTCATGATGTCAATCACTGGATTGTCTGGTCCAGACAATTATTTACAGACTGCCGTCATATAGCTGGGATATTGCTGATTGCGGCATTAAACAACAAGCAAACACACGAAGAGAGAAGTTCATTTATGTTAGTACTGTTACCATTCGTACTAGGGCTGGGACGGGTAACTCAGGTACTTGGGTCGTGAGGGTTCTTAGCAGGACCCTTGTACCCACAGAACTACCCGGACCCGTGGTTAGTCATGTGATAAATTGTTTAATGACAAGAATGATCTAAGACTCTAAGGTTATACTACAAGTCACTAGTGTTCCCATTTCTTTCTGACAATGCACCCATTCCTTCTGACTTTTATATGTTTGAATAAAGATAAAACTTCATGCAGTAAACTTCAGTGTATGCATAACCAGATCATTTTATACGTGTATCTAAATACATTTTGCGAGGTAAAACGTTTCCCAATCGGACAGTTTGTAGCTATCTCTTGAGACCTACAGCTGCTACCCAGGTAGGGCCGGGTAATAGTGGGGTGGGTACCCGGGTAGTAAATTTGGACTCATCCAATCCCTTATTTGTACTGGATTTTCAATTCCTGTTGGGTACTGACGGTAGTTTGCCAGCTGGACATGATAAGAAATATTTTACGTGTGCTTCTTACACTTGTTTTCAGTCCGATCATACATCATTACATGGATTTCCTGATCTAAGTAATTTTGTGGGTGAGACAGTTGAACTTTAACCTCAGATTGGTATTCATTCATCCATGTTGTGATGAGAACAAATTATGGAATTATAATGTATGCCATTAATCATATTTTAAAGCTGTGTGTTTTAATTAGTTTTGTGATTTGAAATGAAAACAATTAGTTCATTGGCAAAAAAACATGGTAGAAAAAAAATCTAAATCACCAGTTAGACACCACCACCAGTGAAAATACAGCTATCAGTTGTTTTCTAAAAAAATCTGGTTATATTTTCATAAACCAGTAGTCCAAAATGAGCTGCATATCAGTATAATATGACCAATGGTGTCTACTCCTGCCAATTAGATTCATTTTATGGTACTTAGTTTTATTTATTTTATTTAGTTTTATTTCAGGTTTTTCATCATTGCATTGCAAAGTCACTTTGGAGATAAATATTTTTATCATATAATGGGTAGGTTTCTCGGCAGGATAAAGCCAATGGATTAACACGATATCCGTTGGGGTCATATGCGGATAGAGATGCAAATATCAAAGGTCAAGTGGGACTACTTTCACTGTTTATAAACAAACATGGCGTCGCCCTCTTCATTCGGCGATTGAGTCAGAATTAACCATCGGGAATCTGGATAAACTACAGGGATAATTGCTATCATTATCAAAAGAACAGTCTAATATACTGAAAATCAGTGTCTAACTGTGACATAGCTATGGCATTTTATAAGTTTTGGCAACTTTGTAGATATAAATTTCGAAACAATTTTGCGAGGGCACGAGGCCTAGCCAAGCGGGATCAGTAGCCATATCTGTGCTTGTAGACCTCTGCGGCTTGAAACCCTCTCCACAAATTAAAATAGTTGGATTTGGCCGAAATATGTTTGAATTGTTACCTTGTTTCGTTTTGTTGCTGTGTGTACATCAGACTACACTTCTTTACGTTATAACAGGACAGACCGACTGTCAACAACGTCTGACCGTGGCCGTGACATCTCAAAGACTAGGGTTACAGTAGCTTCCCTTTGACAAAGGGCAGTTACTCTAGCAGACAGACCGATGGATTGCCACGAAAGGCAATTAAAAACAACTGTAGTTTTGCGTATATGTTGCTTCGCCACTGTATAAGAAACAGATTTCAGTTGGAACTATGTTGGCTACTGTCACTATCCGACTGACACAACCCTGTGACGTAATAAATATTAATGCGCGCATTCCAGGAAAAGTCGCAATGTTTCGGTAATGTTTGTGAGAGAGGGAAAGCGATTTTATAGCACAGAATTAAAGATTGACATTATATGATATAGAGAATTTTATTTATAATCCAACATCATTCTTTCAACTTTTTCAATTTGTAGACAGTAATTAGCAGTGTCTTCAGTGAAAAAAGTACTGCAAACAGCTTCAGTAGCAGAGCCATTAGTGATGTAATTTGATTGTGACGTCATGGTAACCAGTGACGTCACAATGGTCTGCAAAGCATTGTGATGTAATTTCATTGCAGCGATATCTACAGTGTAGATATCGCTTGATCTCATCCAAGCATATCTCCTGTGGGAGCCAGTTTTGGACGATAAAAAGAGATTATCACGCTTGTGTGTCTGGGGATGGTAAATATCCTGTATTAGGAATAAACACTATGTATTTAGCTCACCAAGGCTCGCTAAATACAATGTTTATTCCTAATGCAGGATATTTACCATCCCCAAACACACTCGCGTGATAACCTCTATTGTTTTGTAAGATTTGTGTGATATTATGGTGAATGGATGTGTATAAATTTAATTTGAACATACGTCGCAGGGCAATAATTTTGTATCCTTGCTATTTCAATGTCACATTTTAGTATGGATATTGGCACACA